GGTGTCCTTACAAGAAGAGGGAATATGGACAGACGTACAGAGAGAAGCCGTGTGAAGACGCAGGGAGAAGGTGGCCGTGCACATCCAAATAAGAAGGCCTAATTAACCTTTATCCACAGCCCCAGAGAAACCGCTGTTCTGTGCACATGCTTTAACTCAACATTTTAATGATGGCTGCGAGTTTTTATTTTTTACTTTTATTAGTCCATATTTGTCATACAGCATAGTGATGTTCATTTTGGGGAATTGATACATGCCTAGAACATATTGTGATCATTTTCAATCCCTTTACCATCCCTCTTCTGCCAGTAGCTGCAAGTTTTGAAATATGAACTAGAAAGTATTTGAGACAGGGCTGGGGATTTAGCTCAGCGGCAAAGTGCCTGCCTGGCAAGAGCAAGGTCGTGAGTTCGGTTCCCGGTACCAGAGAAAAACAAAAAAAAACCCAAAAAGAAAGTATTTGAGACAGCCTAGCAGCCTGGCAGCCTCAGCCACTGGCAGCAGATGGCTGTCTCTCAGTGCTTCCCACAATATAGTCCCTGCTAAGTTCCCAGTGCTGACCTAGGGGAAGACTGTCCCTTTCTTACAATTGCACAACACATGTGACTGAACTGGCCCTCTCCCAATGAAAGGCCAGGTCCTTCTTGCCTTAATTGAGCTCCTGCCAGTGTCCTGAATTCTGCGCAATGCCTTGTCTGGCCAGCGCTCCCTAGCAGTCGACCTGTTGGAATCCTGTGACTCCAGGCTCGTGGTAGAAACAGGCTAAGCACAACTTTGACCAACAATCCTCCTTGCATGTTTCCCTCATGTAAAGAGTTGGAAGTTTTTTATTTCCTAAGAGTCCATGAATTATTATGTATTTATTGTAAGTTATTTGGGAGAGGCAGTCAAATGATTTTTATATTTCATTTTATCTGATTAATTGCAGAGTTTAAAAATCTGGGAACAATCACAGTGGAGAACTATGTGTTGGAGGAGGTTATAGCTGCAAGAGAGAGTCAGAAAATTTTTCAGGTCACCTTTGTTCTTGCCTGCTGAAAAATGAAGATTGAGGGAAGGTTTTTATTTTTATTTTTTTTTGGTTTTTTCTCTGGTACCGGGAACCGAACTCACGACCTTGCGCTTGCCAGGCAGGCGCTTTGCCGCTGAGCTAAATCCCCAGCCCCGAGGGAAGGTTTTTAGTTTGTTTTTTGAGATGGAGTCACTCTATTCTCTAGGCTGGTCTCAAACTCCTGGGCTCCAAAGATCCACCTGCCTCAGCCTCTTGAATAGCTGGGACTATAGGGAGAAGCTGGGATACAAGGAAGGCTTCTTAAAGAGGTATTAGGAATGAAAAAAGGATAGCTGGGACAGGTAGAAGGAAGGAGAGAGAAGAAGGAAAGAAGAGAGAGAAGGAGATAACATCCATTGAGTGCATATACAATGTCTCACATTGTGTAAAAGCCCCGTATTGTGGTCTTGGTCAGTTTTACAGATGATGACAGAGGTTCACCTCACAGTTGTCTTTCCCTTGTGTCATGGGGTTGGTATGACCAGGGACCCACAGGAATGGGTGAGGATATTCATGGTCTCTCACCATGCAAACCAGGAGACAGATGCATAGAAGTAGGAAAAGGAAAGAGGTAGCTGCTGCTGTGGGCTGAGCGGTTGGATTGCTTCTCGTACCATTATGGCTGTGTCTAGATATCCCCCTCGAAGCCTCATGTAGTCATAGGTGGGGCTTTTCGGAGGTGGCTGGATCCTGGATGCAGGAATCAAGGATGCAATAGTGGGATTGATTCACGGGGCGATACTAGGATTAAGGATGTGAGCAGATATCTTTTTTTTTTTTTTTTTGTAAAATCTTTTTGAGGCAGGGTCTTGCTATGCAGTTCAGGCTGGCCTTGAGCTCACTTTGTAGCCCAGGCTGGTCTCGAACTTGGATTGATCCTCCTGTCTCAGCCTCCCGAGTGCTGGGATTACAGGCATGCGCCACCACACCCGGCTGTGATCGGATATCTTATCCCTGGATAAGATGTAAGGGACAGAAAGAGGTCGTCACTTGTCACTTGCTGCTTGCTACACTGCTGGCTGCCTTCTGCCTGCCTTGCCTTGCCATGAACTGTTTCTCCTCTGTGAGTCCACCCTATCTTGGAGCCAACCAACTATGAACTGAAACCTCTACAAACTGTGAGCCAAAGTCAACTTTTCCTCCTTTAACTTTGAATGTAGGGTATTTTGTATACACATTGGATTGGGTGGGAGGAAAGGATTTTTTTTTTTTTTTTAGCCACTGAGCTACACCCCACCCCAAGGGAAGAATTTACTTTTAACCCAGTAGTGAATGCATTCTGGTGATGATTCTGAAATGCACTGGCTAGTTTAGGCTGAACAGGATGGACTTAGAAGAACAGCCAAAAGTAATCTTTTTAACTCTTTGATAATTCTTTCATATTGTGTAGTTTGCTTTTCTTATGGTGCCTCTTATAGCAGTTCATATGCACAGCAAATACGTAAATAGATATTATGTGGATGTTGAGAGGAGAAATGAAATACTTGCATATAGTCAAAAAGTGTATTTTTAGTAGAGCTAAAAAATTAAAAGTAGCTGTTTCCTTGGCTCTTGTAGTTTCAGTTGAGGCTTTTTCCAGCTTCCTAATAGCAGACCACACCCTGTGGGGCAGCCTGTTTGGGTCATTATCTCATTTCCAACTTTTGAAGCCCAGTAACAGTTCAAACACTGGAAGAAGGGTGTCCACTTACTTTTTCTCCAAGATAAAGAGTAGACATAATTAGTTCAAAGGGGAAGTCAGAGCCAGTGTGGTGGCACACACCTGTGATCATAGCACTCTGGTGGCTGAGGCAGGAAGATCACCATGAGCTGGAGGCCAGTCTGAACTACATAGTAAGACTGTTTCTCAAAAAACTCCAAACAAATAAAAGGTAAAAAACAAAGGGAATGTGAGGAAGATCTCTGATGGTTTATGCTCAATATTAGTGTTTTGGAGAGAAATTGAACATTTTGGCTTAAAAGTTTCTTTCTTTCTTCCTTTCTTCCTTTCTTCCTTTCTTCCTTTCTTCCTTTCTTTTTCTTTCTTTGTGACAAGGTCTCACTGTATAGTTCAGCCTGGCCTTGAACTCACTATGTTGCCCAGGCTGGCCTCAAATTTGCAGCAATCCTCTTGCCTAGACACCTGAGTGCTGGCATTACACGCATGCGCCACCATACCCTGTAAAATCTTTCTTTTTGTCTTTTGGAGTAAATATATTTTAAAAATTCTTAAACATAGATATGTAATAGCTGTAGTTGTAAAGAAATTCGAGAACTCTAAGAGAAATAACTAATACATATTTCTAAGCAATTTCTGAACTAGTAAGGAAAATGTTATAGCACATGTCCGGATGGGGTATTTTGGTCAAATTAATTTTTTTTCTGTTCTATTGTCCTTACGCATTATTATAAAGGATTTCCCATAAAGATGACATTTTTTTTGGAGACAGGATCTCACTATGCAGTTCAGGCTGGCCTTGAGATCACTTTGTAGCCCAGGCTGGTCTCAAACTCACCATGATCCTCCTGCCTTAGTCTCCAGAGTGCTGGGATTACAGGCATGCACCACCATGCCCAGCAAGATGACATTTTAAAAATAAAAAATTGAACAATCTCATTCATACTTGGAATAAAGACAAATTCTTTGTTATATTTGTTAAAGCACAATTATTTTCCTAATGAAAGACTCAATTTTAATTTTGTATGAGATCAAAATAAAAATCACTTTGTTAGAGCTGTATGTTAAATGTTGGAATCCAAAATTCCAGTAGCATCAGGCGGTCCATCTCTGTAATCCCAGCACTCAGCGAGGCTGATATAGAAGAATCACAAATTCCAGCCAGCCCAGGATGGCAAATTCAAGCCCAGTTTCAGCAGTTTAGGAGTTTAGTGAGATCCTGTCTCAAAAAATACAAAAAGGCCTAGGAATTTAGCTCATTGAAAAAGCCTTGTGTTCAAGCCACAATCTTGCATAAAATATGTATATAGACATATATATCTACATATATATATATATCCAGCATCTATCTCTGTATATCTCTATAGATCTATATAAATATATATATCCAGGAATCGCAGTCCTTCGGGTGCTAAGGCAAGAGAATCCAGAGTTTGAGGCCAACCCCAGGCCACATAGTGAGTTCAAGGCCAGCCTGACTACATGTTGAGATCTTTTATCTAAAAAAAACCCCAAGAAACAGAAAAACCATAAAACATGCCATTTATAGTATTGTCACTTTCATTGCAGTAAAATAGCTTGGTTTTTTTTGTGTGTGTGGTTAGCTTCAGGGTTCATTTCTTATTCAAGAGGGGTTATGTAGTAATTTTCATCACATGTCATTAGAAACACAAGTTGTTAGAACAAAGGCTGCTGTGTGAGTGTAATTACATCTTCCTGTATGATTAAATGAAAGCTGTATTAGAGCATTTTGCAAGGGTGGCAGCTGTAGCCAGCCACGTTCCAGTTCAGCCCATAAAAGAATTCCTGTGACTAACTGGTACTAATTGTTTGCAGAACAGCCCGTGGGAGTAATGTTCACGAATACTGTGGAAATGCACTGTTCCAAGACCAAGTGGTTTGTCCCTTGTTTTTCATCACTTTATTGTGGTCAGATTATATTAGTCATATAATCAGCCCAAGGGAAGTGGGCATTCTTTGTCTTTTGGTGGTATTAGTCGTGGTAGAAAACTTACCCTTTTTAGTCTTCATACCTCATAAGTGGGAAACTGAGGCTTACAGAGTAGTTGAGAGTTATTTAAATCACCCAACTTCAACTTTTTTGTCGACACATCTGTAACAGATTCATGAACACTTCTTACCTTATGCAGGTAAATGTATTAATTGATGTGATATACTTTAATATAGCTTAAAATATATTAGTTCTCAAGGTAAATATTATGATATAAATAATGAATAATATGAATAATGAGAGAACAAAAGGGAAATAGACAGTGCGATATTTTCTTCCCATAACCCAAAGAATATTGGTGTGTGTCGGGCTGTAGGAGAAGATGGCGGTCTCCACAGGAGTTAAAGTTCCTCGTAATTTTCGCTTGTTGGAAGAACTTGAAGAAGGACAAAAAGGAGTAGGAGATGGTACAGTTAGCTGGGGCCTTGAAGATGATGAAGATATGACACTTACAAGGTGGACAGGCATGATTATTGGGCCACCAAGGACAAATTATGAAAACAGAATATATAGCCTGAAAGTAGAATGTGGACCTAAATACCCAGAAGCTCCTCCATCAGTTAGATTTGTAACAAAAATTAATATGAATGGAATAAATAATTCCAGTGGAATGGTGGATGCACGCAGCATACCAGTGTTAGCAAAATGGCAAAATTCATATAGCATTAAAGTTGTACTTCAAGAGCTAAGACGTCTAATGATGTCCAAAGAAAATATGAAGCTTCCACAACCACCAGAAGGACAAACATACAACAATTAGTTTTAGTGGATCTCAAACTTGTCTTAAATCAACAACCTTCTACTCATATTAATGTCTTGATTAAATATCACAAAGCAAAATACCCACACATTAAGTAAAAGAATTCCAGCTGATAAACATGACCTGGACATTTGTAAGAATATATTTAATAAATGTTCACCCATTATGTTTTCAGGTAACAAGAGGAAAAATGCAGCACAACTTTTCTTTCTCTTGTTAAGGCACTGTCATTTAACCATGAACCTGGAGTCCTCCAAATAGAATTCAGGTTTACAAGATGAAAGCATGGGAAGAATTGTCAGATGTCAGTGGAAACGTGTGTTTCTGAAAAGTAAAATCTCAAGAAGGAAAAACAGAAATGGCATGCTTATCCATCTTGCTTAGTGAAAGAGCTACAGTTTGAAATTGTTCAAAGTAGCAGGTACAATGAATATTGTCACAAATTGTGTTAATTTTTGAAGCAGTGTGGGTGCTGACTACTAGTAGTATCAAAAATATGTTCAGGATTGTTTTGATACCTGTATTTATAATAAAAAAAATGTTGGGGGGGTTGATGAATTTCTGTCAAAAGCTGTTCCTGTGTGTTACATGTAACAGACATGGTAAATATTTGTTTACAGTCTTTGTTAAATAAACCATGCATTTAAGTTTAGGTGAAATCAACAAAAGGAAATAGGTATATGGATATGTGATTTTGAGATTAGTCTTAAAATGTAAATAAAATGTAGAACGTGAAAAAAAAAAAAAAAAAGAATATTGGTGTGTGTAATCAATTTGGAGACCACTGGTTTAAATCATTCCAGTAAAAAAAAGAAAGAAAGAAAAGAAAAGATAAAACTTGAGAGAGGGCTGGGGATTTAGCTCAGCGGCACAGCGCCTGCCTGGCAAGCACAAGGTCGTGAGTTCAATTCCCGAAAGAAAAACCAAAAAAAAAAAAAAAAAACTTGAGAGAGAAAAATCTATAGGAGTGGAGATCTAGCTTCCTGGGGGATGGGAGGAGTTTGGGGTGTTATTCTGGACATCCATGTTAATCATAATCACCACCTATCCCTGGAAATCATGCTTCCATTTATTTCCCTTTTATATATGGATTTGTTTAGACAAGGAACAGCATAATTCCTGTATGTTGCCGTAGCATATAAAAAAGTAGCTTGAAGAATTTGGAGAGGAAGGGGGTATATAAATCTGAACTCAGGGTAGCAGAGACTACTAAATTCATAGAAATCAATTTATTAGTCAATTTCATAAGTATAATTGGGATCCTCTGGGATAGCAGTGGCCTTGGGCAGAGATGGATCCAGAAGCTCAAAAGATGTGAGGACATTTAACTTGCTGCTGTTTTTCTCAGCTAGGTACTACTGAACAGCCGTCTCTATGAGGTGGGGGACATGACTGCCAGAGGCCCAAACTCCACATGTGCCCTGATTACTAGCGCCAGCGCAAAGAGCCTGTTTTTCTCCTAGTGTCGTATTTTTCATTCCAAAGAAGACTAGTGAATCCAGTCTTGGTCCTGTGGACCGTGGCCCCTGAGGAAGCCACCGTAATCGATGGCCCACCCTTAGCTCTTGGAGAAAGGGTAAAGAAGCTCCTTGAAGCGGTGTGGAGAGTCTTACAAAAAAGAAAGAGGAGATGGATTTTGAACATCTCCAAACAATATATTTTCATGTAACAGGGCTCATCCTTTTGGGTCTAGAGGTATTTACAGAGATATTTTAAAAACCCCAAACAGAATTGTTTCTTAATTAATTAATCTTTGCTTTTGCTATTGACCCAAGCAAGGAATTTACAGCAGTTATAAATGCATTGCTATACAGTGACAGCTGGAATCCCACCTTCATTCGACAAAGTGGGGCCTTTTAGAGAGAGATATTTGTTGAAAGAGCAAATCTGTTTCCGATTTTAGTACATCTAGAGCCAAGCAGGCTTTTTGGACCAATTATTACCAGACCTTGAGATAAATCACCTCGTATGCCTGTTCTACGTGAAGGCTTAGTGGCCTGAAAGATTTATGTGCGGATTAATTGGGGAGTGTACATTAGATCATTGTGTTTAAAACCGTGGTCACTCCTGCAGATCATTTTCATTAGTGCTTTATTCAGAACTCTTCGGCCTTACGTAACACAGACATTGGGAGGAGATCTGAAAGACCTTTTCCTCTCCCCCTTAACCTCTACCCCTGGCACTGTTGGTCTGACCGCTCTAGTCAGGGCTACACAGAGCACAGAAGGCAAGGACTGTGGCTTCCTGTGGAGAAAAATGAGTTCATTGGCTTTAGCTGAACAGTAACCGAAATTTACAAGACCTTGTTCTGCAAGCAACAAGATGAGGTATAAGAAATACATGGCTATTCTGGAGGCAGCTGTGGGTATCACCCCGCTTAACAAGAGAGAACTTCTCCCCGAGAGCAGAAGACACGTGAACCTTTGGCAGCACCCTGGGTAAGCAGAGGCACCTTGATGCTTCAGGCTAGAATTGTCCATACTGGCTGTTTGGGGTACGCAGACAGAGAAAAGGGGCCTTTCTCCTGGGGTGAATTCACTGAGAACTTTACTTTTTCTTGGTGGATGTGGTGTTCCCAGACGGTAATGAAATTCTTCTGTAATATTTGTAGAGCTCGAGAAGATGAAGTCATGGGTGTGTTACGATATTACAAGCAAGATGTTAATTTTCTGAGTTTGAAATTTTTAAATGTGATTTGCAAGTATACCAATGCTTGCAGATGAAGAAAATGTGCCTCGGTATCTTTTTCAACAAAGCAAGTGTTTTTCTGTTTAAAGCATTTGGGCAGGGGCTGGGGGAGTAGCTCAGTGGTAGAGCACTGGCCTAGCATGGGCAGAGCCTTGGGTTTGATTCCCGGCATGGAGGCCAGGTGTGTGTGTGAGCAAAGTGTATGGGCAGACTGTATTTTCAGGGAAAGCTTCTTCCTGAAATGGCAGTTTTCATGTCACAGCTCTTTACAATGCCCCTCTGATTAACTGTGCAGATGAAGGGTTTGGAAGTTCTTCTCCGCCTGGTTACAGGCCTCAGGTAGAACTTCCTTGGCAAAGGTCCTTCTTTTGGGTCTTTTACACATTGGAGAATTGAGTCTAAGGTGCCTGCGTGGTAGACAGTGTGTTTAGGATCTGCCTGAGCCACGCAGTGGCAGTAACCAATCAACTTGAGGTAGCTAAAGCAAATGAAATTTCCTTTTAAAAAGTATAACATAACTCGTTTTGATCCTACAAGCAGTACACATCATTAAGGAAGTTTTAGACAATAAGGAAAAATAAGAGGGGAAATTTGCCCACAGTTCCACAGAATCACCAGAATCATGAAGGTGGTCCTTGGAGCTGGGTAGGAAATTTGGCAGTGTCTCCAGACCGTTCGGTTGTCGTAACTCAGGGCATTACATTTAGTGGATACGGGTCAGAGGGTCTGCACAACATTTGACAGCCCACAGGACCCCACCCGCCGGCCCAGTAGTATTCCCGGTAAGACACTGGCTTTCGATAGATTTCTCCCTATCTTAAAAGACTTTCTTACTAGAAAAAATAGATATCTGGTAAATTTTAAGGATGGACTAGACTGCTGAGACAACACTTTATTTGTTCAGTGGTTGGTGGAGCTAGAAACCAGGGCTTCACCTATGCTAGGCAAGCACTCCGTCATTGAGCTGAATTGCAGCCCAGATATAAGGATATTATTATTCTACTGTTCTGCTGCTGAAAGTAAAAGGAAGATTGTATATGTCTGGAGGGGGAAAGAGCATCTGTCTATGTAGGTTAATGTTCTTTAGCCAGGGCTATGGAAAACGTGTTTAATGACCGAATTGTGCCCCCCTCATCTCTGTCTCTACCACTCCCATGGAATTGAACCTTGAACCCAGGGCCTTCACACTGAGCCACATCCCCAGACTTTTTTTTTCCCCTCTTATTTTGTATGAGGCAAGTTCTCACTAAATTGTCCAGGTTTGGCTGGGATTGTGATCCTTCTGCCTCAGCCTCCCAGAGAGCTGGAATCACAGGATTGTCTCATCACACTGGGCTCAAATTAGGGTTCTTAAGGAGCCTATGAGATCCAGCACATCAAAACTTGAATCTTGGTCTCAGAGAAACAGAAGTTTAGAACTGGAAGATTGGATGTGTTCCTAGGGCTGGCAAAAAGGTTTCATGTGGTAGGCACTGCTAGAACTACCAAGCTGGGGAGGATCCTGAGGCCACATCTGTGCTGGCCGGAAAGGAATATTGTAATTGCTTAGGAATTTTTGTTTCAAACATATATTTAAGGAGTTTGGGGGAGCTGTAATATATGATCTATGTATTTACCATTTCTTTCTTTTCTTTTTTGTGGTTCTGGAGATCAAACCCAGTGCCTCATGGCCTGCTAGACAAGCACTGTACCATTCAGCTATACCTTTGGCCCCCCCCTTTTTTTTTCTGAGAGAGGAAACATTCCCTGAAGCCCTATGAAAGAGTACTGTGTCAGAAGACAAATGCTATCTTCCTTGTATCTATAGTACTTGGAGCTCTTCAAGTACACATGGACAGAAGGTTGCTTTGCTGACGCCCCCCCTCCTCCCCCCTGCTTTCTTTTTGAGGCAGTCTCACTATGTAGTTCAGCCAGGCTTTAAACTCACTTTGTAGTCCAGGCTGGCCTTGAACTCACGGCAGTCCTCCTGCCTCAGCCTCCTGAGTGCTGGGATTACAGTTGTGTGCCACCACATCCAGCCAAGCTCCACTTTTTGTTTGCTGACCCCTTTGTTACCTGACAGGCTTCCTTGAAGTATGTACCTATTGTTTACAGCGCTTACAGACAACACTCCCTTCTGGGTATCCGAGGAGGGTTTATTTCCTGCTGACAGATGTTAATTTCATGAATTAGCTCCACATCTTGCAGGGATACCTTGATGTTTTATTTCTTAACTTTACTGTGCACATGAATCACTCTGTTAAAATACAGGCTGTGTGTGATTCTGCAGGTTGTGGTGGGGCCTGAGATTCTGCAGTTTCTTGCAAGCTCCCAGCAACGCTGATGGTCCAGGCAATGTCAGTGCGTGGATTACACTGCAGGTCTTCCAGAGATGCCCTTCCCGACAGCTTCTGGAAGGTATCCTGCTGCTTCCTCTCGTGTTAGTCCCCAGCCGTCCCCTCCCTGCAGACCTCAGATGTTAGTGGCAAGAAGGTAGTTTATTGGCTGTGATTTTATAAGAGAAATCTTTCCGGGAACTTTCTGATCAGAGATTTCTATGGAGTTGATTGGCTAAATTGTGAGGCTGATTTTCCTCTAACAATGCTGTCCCCGTGCAGGACACAGACATTTCCGAAGCAGCTGTGCCTGCATTTTAAAACATAATTGGATTTCAGACGTAACCTGGTTTTCAAAACCTCAAGAATCTCGTGCTCTCCTCTCACCTCCTCACTGCCACTTACTTCCTCCTTTTTTTTTTTTTTTTTTTTCCTCCGGTACCAGGAACCGAACTCACGACCTTGCGCTTGCCAGGCAGGCGCTTTGCCGCTGAGCTAAATCCCCAGCCCCTTCCTCCTTTTTCTTACTATCTGGGAGCAGGCTGAGCTGGGGCTTCGCGGCTGCGAACTGTAGTCACGTGTTGGCCAAGACAGCTACCAGCCGACAAGTGACCGAGTGCTGCCAGCTCACCGCAGCACAGTTGGGGAGAATTATGCGTCTGCCTCACTGCCCAGCCTGTGCTAGGTATGCACGAGTACTGCCAGCACCTTCTCAGTTTCAGGATAGCCACAAATGAAAGGAAGAAAAAAGAAGAAAAGAGTGACACCCAAAACAAAAGTATTGAAGCACCCATGGATCTTCCCTTTAAAATTTATAGTTTTTTAAGTTCTTACACACTTTACCTGGCATTACTTTTAGGTATCTGTCAAAACTATTATAAACCAAAAATATATTTTAATTGTTTCTGCCAACTTTTTCTTTAGAAACTCTCAGCAGTTTTAGAGTGCAAGGCATGGCAGCACGCACCTGTAATCCCAACACTTGGGAGGCTGAGGCAGGAAGATTACTGCAAATCTGAGGCCAACCTGGACTATACAGTGAGTTTATGGCCAGCCTAAACTACATAGTGAGATCATCTCCAAAAGAAGAGTAGATTTTAGAAACAACTGACTGTTATGTGTATCTTTTACACATGTCAAAAACCCTTGGAATATTACCAAAAAAAAAAAAAAAAGTTAAAGTCAGGATGTCTTAGAAATGCAAAAAACCTGACTGAATTAAAAGCAAGCTGTTTTCATGAAAGAAACAAGGTCTGTTTGAAGCTGATACCTGTAGAAAAATTCCATATTCAGGCCAAAAAGCATAAGGAAACCCATCTTGGTTGGTGAGCCATTTATTTACACGCGCTGGGCGGGGCTCTAATCCCTGGCTTGCACTGTCGGGTGTCCAGATGGCCCGCTTTCGCCCTTGTCTGCACTTCCTGCTGATCCGGGAGAAGGGAGATGGGCCTCCCGCCTGCACAAATAAAGTCCACACCCTCCTTTCTCCCCGCTGTCTGTCATGCAGGGAGCAGAATGCTTTGCTCAGAGGACACAGTATCACTTCGAGGAGCAAACGGCAGAGCGGGGCCAGAGCCGGGAGAGCCGCGTTCTTCCTCCCACTGGGGGTTTTCCCTGTGACTTCTCCTGGGAGGTCGCCAGGGCCGGCACAGCCCAGAGATGTGCGTGCCTGCGTGTGGGGCGGGAAGGGCATCTGCAGGCGTCATGGACGAGTGCACCAGGGTATTTCTTGGCGGGTTTTTTCTTGGCTGAGGCAGAAAGAAAAAATATTTGCTATCCTTTCTTACAGTGGGCAACTCACAAATAGATGAACTGCTACTATAGACGCTGGGAAAAACAAATTATATCTTTTAGTTTAAAATGTTTTCTCTGTGGGTGTGGTGGCGCATGCCTGTAATCCTAGAATTTGGGAGGCTGAGGCGGGAGGATCCTTGCGAGTTCAGGGCCAGCCTGGGCTACAAAGTGAGTTCAAAAACAGCCTGAACTGCATAGTGAGACCCTGTCTCAAAAAGAAAAAAAAAGCTTTCTCTATTATACATTTTTTTTTGGTCTTTTTTTGAGACAGGGTCTCACTCAAAAAGAAAAAAAATGTTTTCTCTAATATATATATATATATAGATAGATAGATAGATAGATATAGATATAGATACAGATATATATTTTGAGACAGGGTCTCACTCAAAAAGAAAAAAAATGTTTTCTCTAATATATATATATATATAGATAGATAGATAGATAGATATAGATATAGATACAGATATATATTTTGAGACAGGGTCTCACTATGCAGTTCAGGTTGTCCTTGAACTCACTTTGTAGCCCAGGCTGGCCTCGAAATCGCAAGCATCCTCCCGCCTCAGCCTCCCGAATACTGGGATTACAGGCATGCACCACCACTCCCAGCCTCTATTATACATTTTTAAATGATAAATATTGAGTATGTTTTACCACAATTAATTTTTTTTTCTATTGCTGTTTTCTGAGTATTGTTTTCATCTGATTTTTTTTTTTTTTTGGTGGTACTGGGGATCCAGAGTAGAAGGAACCCAAATGTCCATCAGCTGATGAATAGATAAATAAAATGTGGTATACACATACAATAGGATGGTAAGTAATCATAAAAAAGAATAAAGTTATGATATATGCTACAACGTGGATGAACCTTGAAAACAATACGTTAAGTCAAAGAAAACAGTGGCAAAAGGTCAGAGATGGCATGTGTCCATTGATGTGAAATGCCCAAAACATGTCCGTCTGTGGAAAGGAATCTCACTGGGACAGCGCCTATGCTAGGGGGCGCAGAGGGAGTGAGGGAACTGGGGAAGGAAGGGGAAGTGGTGCAGACTTTTGGAGGTAATGGAAATGCCCTAAGTGGATTATGGTGATGGATGCGCAGGGCTGTGGGTATACTGAACGCCATCCGGGGGTGAACTGTATGGTATGTGAGCTCTGGCGCACTCCTCAAGATGTCAGCGTACTGGGAATGACAGGGTTGGGTTCTAACCACGCTGTCTTTTCCAGGGTGCGGAGAAGCACGTTACTATCCTCTCCCTGCGAGTGGGACTGGCACCCCGGCTCCAGCTCCAGCCAGAAATACTCCACTGAGCACAGGCCCTGGTCAGGGCACAGCCTGCCTTCCCAGGTACTTGCTTATTTTTTGTCAACCTAGTTACCAAGAGTTTGAGGTAAATTAGTTCTCATCCTAGTCAAGGTCACCATTTTGATGTTGCTGATCAATAAACTTTCTTTTTTTGTTTGTTTGTTTGGTTGGTTTTTTTTTTCCAGTACCGAGAATCGAACTCACGACCTCACGCTTGCCAGGCAGGCGCTGTGCTGCTAAGCTAAATCCCCAGCCCCTGATCAATAAACTTTCAAATACAATTGAATGCTAATGTCCTATTTAGCAAAGAACAAAAATATCTTACCTGTACTTAGGTCTGCATTGAATGTTCTGACTTTGACCAGCATTGGGGAACACATTTTCCTGGCTAAAGCGTATTAAGTACAGCTCCCGGGGTCCACCCTACATGCCTAGCAGGTGAGGTTGGGATTTGCTGTCCATGGTGTCTGGGTTTGGAGGTCATTTTGGTAGGTCACATCTTTTTTTCATTGTCATTGAGGTAATAAAATTATGTAACAGTAATAAGTACTTTGCTAAAGATGTAAGACAGGCAACACAGTGGCTTCTAAAGATTAATTATGTACAAGTGTTTAGTGAAAGAGCTAAGAGTGAGTATTATCTATTTACTGATTCAGTTTTAAGTATGAATTACATAAGATTTACAAGGTATTAAATTTTGTTTTGACAGATGCAGGGATGTATTTGTTCCTAGCTAGACTTTAACCTCTGATTATAGGTCAGTCCGTGGCTGCCTGGAATGGGGCTGTGCTTTTTCTCACGTGGTGGGTTTGTAATTCCTGTCTGTGGAAGCTGGGTGACTTCCAGCCCCATGTGAGTACTGGAGCTTAGTGGCACTTGTGCTGTACCCTCTAGAATAGCAGATGGCTGGTCAAGCGAAGTCCCACTGCTGCTGCCTTCTAACTGGGTGACCTCGGGCCCTGGTCTTGGTGTTTTTTGAGCCTCAGATCCTAATGGGCACTGACATGAAGTGAAGTGAATTAATGACTAGCAAGCACCAAGCACATACCAAGGCCTGTCTTGGAGGCTGGCTGTCTAAATGGGGACCTTTGCATGCGAAAGTCCTCAGCTTCCATTGAATCAGCGGGGCTGGGGTGGGTTTTGTTTGTTGAGATGTTCTCTGCATAGTTCTTATAAGTCCAAAATGTAAGATGATGGATGTTTAATAGACTCCAGAAGTGATTTTCCTAAGACTAGATTTCTAGGTCAGGTCTGGTTGTTGTTTTTGTTGTTGTTGTTGTTTTTGCTTTTTCCGGTACTGGGAATCAAACTTATGACCTTGCACTTGCCAGGCAGGCACTGTGCCGCTGAGCTAAATCCCCAGCCCCTAGGTCAGATCTATTGATTTAGTCAGCTGAATTAGATGGACGGTATATAATATACAGAGTGTGTCTCAGTCCATTTGGGTGGCTGTAACAAAGTACCTTAGACTGGTGACTTAAAAACAACTGAAGTCTATTATTATTATTATTATTATTATTACAGTATTATTATAGTATTAAGGATTGAGCACAAGGCCTTACACATACTAGGCAAGCATATTACCTCTGAGTTACAGTCCTAACCAGCCCTTTTTAAGTTTGATTCTGAGATAGGTTCTCACTAAGTTGCCTAGGCTGGCCTTGACCTTGTGGTCCTCTTTCCTCAGCCTTCTTAGTACCTGAGATTGCAGGTGTACCCCACCACAGCTGACTCACTTGTTTCTCTCTCTCACTCTCGCTTTCTTTCTCTGTTTTTTCTGTCTTTCTCCCCTGTTTTTCCCTTCCTTCCTTCCTTCCTTCCTTCCTTCCTTCTTCCTTCCC